ACAATTGTGATTGTGATAGTCAGCATTAAATATACAATGGTAGATATACACGTGTGATTTTTCTTTCTTTTTTTTTTCTAGAGCTTTTTTTTGAAAAACCTGCAAAAATAGCCTAGTTCATTTTAGGGCAACAGTGCAAAATCAATGTTTCTCGCTTCAGTTTTTTGTGCTCGTATTTTGCGTATGTTATTACAGCCCAGTCTATACGTGTGTGTGTATGTTTGTGTGCTACGGGAAATTGTATACAACGCATGTGACATCAATGGGAAGACAAAGTGCAAAAATCTGTCGAAGGCAGGCCCAGGTTACGGTATGTCAATGACTAACGATCAATTCTGCTTCCATTCACCATCATATATTAGGTGTAGAGTGATAGATTTTTTGGTAGAATCAATAGTGGCTTGAATCTGTCTATAAGAATACTTGAAGTACTGCCTTTATTTTGGGGGGTAAAAGTTTCGATTCGTCATCGAAAATTGTGGCCGTTGGAATAGGTTATTTGTGGACATACCTTGAGACGCTTATTATGGCGACTCTTTACCCGACCGATAGTTTACTGAACATAACGCCTCGTAAGCTTGCGTTCTCCAAAATCAGCACTAGAAATAGCTAAATTAAACATGGATCACTCGGTACAGATATGAATTCTACACTGATATGTAGTAACTAAATAATGCTACATGTTATTTTTAGGATGAAACGATGTCGAAAAAAATAACATTTATAATAATTTTTACGAGAGGCGTTAGTAAGGTGTGTTTCGGCAAAGGATATTTACTGATATTGTGTTTGGACATTTTTGTTCGTCACTCACAGCTGGCCATTTTATTAACTAAATATAGATGCCGTACAAAGGTAATGTTTTGTTTGTCTTCCTATACTTTCACTATAGCTGACACCAAGGACACACTGAAGGCATGACGGAACTGTTTGGAGGCCCGGTAAAATAATTTTATACGTGCATTCTACCTGCAACTGGACTATTGCTACATAGTTTTACATTGATAAAGTCTACGTTCTGTTAATAAAATTTATTAAACGCGCTTTAAGGTTTATAATGGAGTCGTAGTCGTTTGATCCAATTTGTACATGTAGCATATATGCCAAGATGATAACCCACTATCGGGTGGAAGATCGCCAAGCTTATACGATGCCGTGCCAATATAAGCTTCATATATTACAGCCGAAACAGCATAGGCAAGCGATTTCACAGAGAGTAAATTTTCGTAAAAGTTTATTCTAAGGACTTTTGTCTTCTTCACATTCGATTCTTTATCATCACTACGATTGGCACGAATAAGAAGGCATCATGCAGCCATCATATTCACTCATTTATAATAGTGAACGCTCTACAGCTTTCTTTCTAACTAGAAGTTCTACAGTATTTACCTAATTAGATGGTTACGCAGATTGACGGGGTAACCTCTTACTGAAAGCTTCCGGTAATGTTTAGGCGTTGTCCCGATGCTCCATGAAGCTCAAACTCAGATTAATTTAACGGGTGTCGGACGAAGACTATGCTACAGACAGCTACTTAACTGAAAGCCTATGTCTTAATATTAGGCTGTTTAATCCATAAGCATAGAAGTTTCTAGTTGAAGCAGATACGTTATGTGTAAGTGTCATTTTCTAAAAGAAGCACACGTATCTTACCACTCTAAGGCCACTTTTGTGATGTCCTACAAACATCTTAGTGATCTGTGAAATCAGGTGAATCGTCGACAACTAACTGGAAACCAACAACAGATGAACGTTTCAGAATCTCCTCAGTTAGATTAGTCCTACTGACTAATGGCCTGAAAAACTTCTCCGAGTTCGTTCGGTTGATTGTTTGTATTCGACAACTTGATTGTGTTCCCTGTTTTCGGCAAGCACGGGTTCGTTAGTTGCTTGGTGAATATGCTAGGGCGTAGGCAGTCTAACAGAAAATAGCGGAATTTGAAACGAGTCGTCCCTGCTGGAGAATCCCTAAATACGGTATCGCGGTTCTCCTTCTAGAAATGAAATGGTCTTCGTGTACGACATCTATCTCTCAAAACAAACTAGAGCCAAAGTATACGTGCACGCACGGCTAATGCTGTAATCTTTTGGAGCATTAGATTTACCATAAATGATCTTACAATAACTTCGCATGGTACATAGTATATTAGATAAAATGTATTTGAGGAAACTACGTCCAAAACTAACTTCATGCGTACCCTATTCTAAGAATAAAAATGCAGTACAGTGAAATCTATCCCTTATTTTCATGCCCACGGTACCAGAATAAGTTGTCAACTTGCTGGTCACCATCCCAAGTTTAAATTATTAGCAACTATGAGTGTATTTGAATGAGCATACGAAGTAGACGTTAGTCAAATATTTGGCAAGTACGATGAAACAAGTCCGGTGTATAAAAGGGAAATCGCTGAAACTTAGCTGGTAACGTAACGTATATTTAGGAAATTTTTATCTGTATAGGATTAGATACGGTACGTACTTTGTAGTTCATTTACTAGAGGCATTAAATTCATGAACTGAATACACATTGCCTCACATTGGGGACATTGCCTCACCCCAAAGCTCAAACCCGCGGAGCCGTCCGAGGCACCAGATGTTTGGTGTGTGGGGTGAACAATGTTTATTAATTTTTTTATAAATTACAATTATGTTAGCTGCAATCATTTAATGTTGATAATTGTCTTAAAGTGTATAATAAGCGTTTAAAAATGCACCAACATTTATTTAGTTCATTTTGACAATGCATTATTTTAAATATAGCTGTTGTTAATTATTAAGAACTTGCATGGGGCTACGTCATCTTAAATATTCGGTTTTGATTATCTACTGATAAATAATGAAACAAATCTAATCACATCAGTGGGAATATACAGACAAAGCTTTTTTGAAACAGGAAGAAATCAGACTAGGACGAACCTTATCTCTGCGGAGAGTAGAGGAAACCTAGGCACAAAGCAAGCCTTTGAAGCAAACCTTCGGAACGGCGCTCGCCGGGCGAGGTCTACAGCTGTTCCAGTACGTAAAATAAGTTGCGGATCAATTCGGCACGGAGGCAGAGTATACAGTTTGTTAAACTTACCGAATGGCTGTTCCGATAGAACTTGCTTTAAGTTGGCCCAAAATAGAGCCCTGAAAATATCGACGAAAAGAAGATAGCACAGGTTAACGATAGAATTAACTTGGCCAAATCTGTTTACTGCGACCAAGTTGTTACTAGCTATGAATGAACCGCTGTTCGATTTATTGGGCTGACGGCTATAATTAATAAGACAGGGTTCACTATCACATATATTTCTTTATACTTAACTAACTGGACCGGCTGGCTTCTATTCATACCCACCTCATCATTGAATCAACTAACGTCGTTTGTTAATGCCCAAGCCAATTTAGCGTAAACTGCGTCCCAATAGTTAAAGTTATCCTGTTTCAACAAGTTTGTAATTTTTTTCCAGTTACTTCATCAGTCTGTTCCAATCTTAGCAAATGTTATTGATATCTCGTTCGATTTCACCCGATGTCAGACCTATCCCTTTCCTATGCTTTCACTTGCAATTATTTTGACTCCGTAACGTACAATTCCACTACGCCATTACAGGTGTTCGGTTGAAGTGAACAAAGCCTTTTCAGTAACCCCGTTATTTTTGTGGGGTTATCCTATTACCCTGTTACGTTCCGCTTAATCTATAGCTCCATTGAAGTTATCTTATTATATTCATCCCGTTGTCCCACTGCGATAATTCTTTTCCCTAATTTCGGCAGCGCAAACAGAGAATTGACGTGAATTAAAATGTTCCATATAAAATTACATGTATACAATATTTTCGGGTTCACCTGGGCGCTAGTCTGAGACCAGATCTTATTTGGCCCTTAATTCGGTTACATCTGTTGCAAATGGCCGATTAAAATTTATTTTGACCCCGAAATCCTATAATAGTTCGTTTCCCTTTTCAAATTAACGTGTCAACTCTTCTCGGCAATTTAGGCAAGAAACTTAAATTTACCTTTTTATAGGACAAATACAAAATCGAACTTTTAAATTCGGCCTACTTTGAAATAACATTTCAATATATATCTTAACGATTGTCGAACAGATTTTCCAAATTTACTGAAAGTCATAATCATAAAAAGGAACGATGCATCTCAGTACATAGGCAAGTAGCTGTTAAAATCTAGTACTCGCTCCCTTCCATAGCACAAGATGATATTGTACTAGCGAGCAAAGTATCCAGTCTTCAGTCGGACAAACAGATAATTCGTATTAGAGGTATAAAAATCTTGTTTATCTATCTACCTTAACACAAACTGCAAAAAAAATTACTTATCCTCACGAATTGTGGGATACACAATTCAGATCTAGTTTAGCACAAGACGAAGGAAAAAAACAGCAGTAACGCTCGTCCTGGTACCTCATAAAATTGACTTGATCCTTTCATGATACACTGTCAATGTATAGTATTTAGAATTCCGATAGAAGTGTTTTCAATGATTGGCCAGTTGAGCAAATTAGGCTAGTCAGAATATTGTATTAACGCCACATTACGACTCGTCGTGTTCCTCTTATTATGTATAGGTCCAATTTGGTGGTATTTTCAGGAAACAGCAAACGTTATATACTTTAGTGAAAACCTTTCCTTGGGATCGACAATTAAACGAAGAATAACTGGTGTCCATGGATTGCATTGAAGGAAAACAACTGAACAATGACTTTCAAGTGAGACTCACACATGAATCGATTCCTGCTTTCTTATGTGCGCAGCTAAATCTACGCTATCGCACATAGATAAAAAAAAGACAAAACACCAATGTATAATATAGGAGATCTGCTCAAAAAGAGCTCTCAAGTAGGCCCACTTACGGTTAAAGAGCTTACCTACCTGTCTTTTCGAGTTCAACGCGCTACTGAGTCGTGCCTTGAATTTTGCCGGAGCGTTGAAGAATACCGCATAACGCCTATTCGCTATGGCAAGGGGCAGACGTCACAAACGACGAGTGTCTATCACTCAGTCTAATAAGCTTATCCAGTATAGTTCTCGCGTTCTTTGTACTTCTACGAGGGACCTGTAGTAGAAAAAAGTTTGTTTACTATATATGGCCATCATCAGTTGGACAGTGGAATTAACAGGGATTAGAAGGTGGCCGACTACAAACTAAGTTTCCAATAATCGCTAGCTCGCACATCTAGCGTGTCGATTTACTGAAACTACGATCGCCAATAGAAAAGGCTCCGTACCAGGCAGTGCTAGGACAGACTGCTCGTTGTGTGCCAATAGACTATCTGCATACGAATTAACACAGTCATGCTATCACGAAACGGATGCAGTCATGCGAATTTTGACAGTAAAAAATGTCCTATATAGCGGTAGCTATATATCGATGACGGACTGTGTGGTCATATAGTTGGATTTTCGAAGTTGAATTTATAACAACGAAGAACTTGCCAGTTGGGTTAGTCGTCGTGCGTGCAAGCTCACTTAACTTTGGCTCATTCTAGTTAAGAAGCGCAGCTGTTATATGCCCGTAAACAAACCGGTATATATCGTATACGGGATACATTATGTAAAGCAGAAATTGGAAGAACCGATTGATTCATGTGTGTCGTTTGTGCATATGGTAGTGTGCATGAAGCAATACGACGATGACAACGACGACGACGACGACGACGAAAAGTGTGATATTTTGCGACGACAAGTCGACAGCTAGCCAAAACGATGCTTCGTCATCTGTTTCCAAACGGGAACTTGAACCAAACTTATTTTGTCCGGTATAGAGCACCCCGCCAGTCACCAAACTTCGAAGCTTTTCCTAAGCGGTACCTATCCGCAGCCAGTTAGTGCACGAGCCGAAATTTCAATAGACACAGATATGAATCTCAAGCAAGATCCTGAAAAGGAAGCGACGGGTCAATCGTATGCTGCAACTGCTTCGGAACAGCCTGTAGAGCATAACTTAGTGGTTGAAGTTGTCCGGAACTTCGTTGTAAGTCACTTTACCTTAACCTAATCCGTTTGAAAATTATTTAGTAAACTGCATCGCAATCAAATGGGCAAACTTAAAATAGCGGTCGACCTCTAACAAAAAAGATTGCGTTGCTCAAGTTAAATTTTATTATAGTAATCAAGCGAGTTAAAGTACGAAATTCTTTCTATTTAGAAATTTTAATCTAACATACTCTCTATTGTATTATGAAATAGATAGCTCCCTGGCTATATTATTAGTGCTACAAGCAAACAAATCCTGCTTGATTTTCTAATTTATTGACGTCTCTCTAGAACCTGGGAAAGGTCGCCGTAGCCAAAGGTTTTTGCACTGAAAATGTTATTCTTGACGCCTTTTGTTACTACTACTACTACTACTGTGTAAGCAAGCCCTCAAAGTCACTTATTCAGAATCAAGACAATGGTGCTGTTGTTTAGCTACATTCAAATCAGTCCTTCTTTATAAAACTGATCTGTCTCATACCACATATTGTAATCCTTCAGGTGCAATCAGTGAACTAATACTGACAACGCAAGCTGATTTATCTTTGGTGCACGCCAGCCAAAAGCCAGTCATGTTTGGATTAGGTGTCCTTAAACCTTATCCAAAACAGTTTCAGGAAACTCATTTCAGCGATCGTTGTTCTAATGGGAAATTTTACTTTGCCCTTTGAATTGTACTCAAACAAGAATATAGTTCTCAATGAATTGGTCCGTAGTAATTCTAGATGACTAATTGAAAGTGCTGCCATTCGAAGATCTAAAAAGGTCTTGTACTCCAAGAAATGTAACTTGTTAAGCCAGAGCGAGCTCGAGGCTCCGTAACGACTATCTACTTTCATGCATCAAACCTTACCGCCGTACATACTATTTTCCGAGACATCTTTCTTAGAAAGAATGTTCTACGAATAGATATCTCTTGCGATCGTGCGCGAAATTTTAAAATAGGCAAGCTAGATTCGCTACAACTAAGACCGTGATTGATAACTTGCTTACACGTACAAATTTCACGATTCGTCAAAATCCTGTATGCATTTCATGCTCGCAGATATGAAGATCTGCGGTGACATAACTCTGGACCGAAGCTTTGTAAGCCGGCACAAGTCAACGGTTCCAAATCCGCTTGAATTTGAGTTGAAGAGCGTTTTCTACTCCGAGCTGAATCGTGTTAGCAGAGCAGGGAGCTATACACACGGCTGTAGCCAAATGCTGACCCTCTTGAATTCATAACCCTGTAATAGAAGCCATCTGTTTACATCGCATTTCTTCATTTCTGCTGTAAGTTCAACTTTAACAGTGTTGAATACAGTACTTGCCTGCCAGCAAGATAGCGACATTTCAAAGCATAGTTGTAAACGGCCATTTCTTCGGTCTACTTTCAACTCCCAAGCGGCACATCTAATACGCATTGGCCTAAATGAAGCACGTATGTATCGTTTCGTGTTTCATTGAAGTCGTGAGCCTGTTTGATTTATATACATATTAATATATGTATTAAACGCAGTGATGTTGTGTCAAGTAACTGGCTTTATGTAAAAAATAGTTTTTTCTTTCTTGAGAAAGACAGTTACACTAGAACGGGCTTAATTACTATCTTGATTTACAGTCGAAGAATCAGTCAATAGGATTGAAATAGATAAATGTCTTAAAACTGAATTTAACTGAGGGACACACAATCCCAGAAGCAATATCGACTATTTGCAAGTATCCCCTCTTTCCTAAATCACCAAAGGCTAAATCTATAGTAACTGAGAAAGATTGTTGGGGCCCTCGAAAATGCGGTGCCTCATGCAAAGGCTAATGTACCTTCCCTACATGCCTTCTATTTAGATGTGTTTACACCATGGAATCGCCGGTCGCGTTATTGGAGTCGCAGGTCTTGCGGCATCAGACAAGCCACGGTGCTACTTCGGAACATTTAATCCACGTAGCAAGCCTGTAATGAGACGCTAGCCGTCTAGAACTGGACGGATCCAAAAATCTATAAAAAAAAAAATTCCTCTGTATATAGCGGAAGTAGAAAGAGTGATTCTTGTTATATGCGTACCTAATTTCTGCTAACGAAAGATTCGTCATATATTGTGCTTGGATTGCCTTTCTTTTTCCCAATTCCGTGGCATCCAGAAACTACTGCTGACCCAGATCTACTTGTCCCTTTTTTGCACGAGCGAGTGTGAAGTATAGGATTATATTGTGCACACGAGCTGAGCCGACTTTGTATGGGCCGGCTGGGAATTATCTTCCAATTTGCTTTGCTACGCCGAGACAGATGTCACCTGCTTTATCCGTGGGGCTTTGCCACAATATGCATTTGCACGAGCTAAACTGAGTGGTATGATGATTGATGACTAACCCCCTTTACATTGGTTTATAGCGATTCAAAGATCAAGAAATGACACTACTAAGCTGCGACTTTAGTTATATATCTATGAAGCAAATTATGATTTTACTTGCTGATATAAATTGCCGTATGTAGACGGTTTTGATTTTATCGGGAAAATGGGTGACATAATTAAGATGGACTGGGTGCGTTAGCATAGAGCTACTTTGCGAGCTAGATCCCTCGTAGAAGAAAAATCTTCACAGAGACGTAATGTCAAAGAATTTAACGAACCTATTCTTTATGTACGCGTTACAGTTGGCCAGTAAAAGACGTAAAGACTATTGTAAATATGCAAGGAATACATTTCACCTGTGAATGAACCATTAAGTCTTTCTTTGTGATGATTGCAATCTCTTAATGAGCAAAAAAACTCGTTGCATGGTAGAGGCCAAGCTTCATTTGTATACTGTAATGAGATGCGTAGCTTACTCTCCTCCATGAATTTAGATACGGATTACGCTAGGGTATTAAAGATCACGAAAGCCAAGGATAAGCTGGTGTTGATATTGCTTAACCCTCATGGAAGAAATCTTTTATGCACATACAATATCGCTTCGTTTTCGCGGGTAGTGCGAGCCTCTTGTGGTGTCCTTCTTTTTCATTATACATATATGTATATATGTATATGTAATTTAGGGATACTAGCACAAAGTATTCGTTGGTCTCAAGTGACTTCCGCAAAGCTGCCACTTATAACTAGCGAATTTGCTTGCGGCAAAAAAGTAGGCTCTTCGAATCACTATAGTCAGAAGCTTATTTTTCTATTTCCTTAATTTCTTGAAACCATTTTTCGGCGAACGGATTCTACATGGAGGACGCTTCTCTTATTTACAGACACGGGGAGAAACCTTTCTCCCGTAAGTATTTTGCTTGTCCACCGTAAATCCATGACACCTTGTTCTTTGGATGGGAGTGAAAAAGCCACATCTCACCGCCAGTAAAAATTCGCTGCAGGCCATAGTACTTTGGGTCGACTTAATAGTCGAGCACAGTACTGTAATATATGCCTTTTTATTCAGTTCTTAAAGAACTTACAACGTTGCCCTCTCTATCTTTGCCGTAGAGTGGAGGCGACTCGAAACTACTTGTTAGGCTACTTACAACTGATCGGCAAGCTCCTGCTGAGATCAAGCGAAACGTTTGGCCGACAAAGCCTGAAATTTTTTATCTTGAAACTTCTCAGGACGTCCAAGCGGTAGATAACTTTCTAGGAAAGAAGTCTTCACGAAATCTGCTATACTATTTTTTAACGACTGCAATACACACCCGATAAGCATACCGAGTTGGACGAGAGCAAGAAACGAGTTTCGTTTCAGAAAAATAGATATCTTTCTTGTAATGAAATTATAGTTAATTCAACAAGTATGCCCAGTAGGTTATTGAGAGCGTCCAAGTCACTGCGGCACCAGCTCGTAGTATTATTGTTATAATTATCTGACTGTTTTTCAGCGAGAGCTGCGTGACACGCCGTATTTGAAACTAAGTAACGTCGACGAAGACGGTGAAATGTCGACGGAGCCATCGATCGACGGTGAAGAACCAAGGGGCAGAGGTCGTCTTGATAGGAGATCTAGAGGAGGAAATAATGGCAACGATATCGAACAGGGTGAGTGGACAAGCACGTGTTAATACATACAATAAGGTTAAGAAACGTAAGTGAACTAACTCTCAATGAAATCTGATTTATTATTTAGTAACATTAATATCAAAGTGGATATTCAAGTTTAAGCATGGCGATTACAGCATGGACATATATAGCTGAAGACTTATACTACCGCGTTGTTTTTTTTTGTTTTTGTAAAGGATAATGATAAATTAGTAAAATAATGCTAACGTTTAGATACTATCGCAATAGCAAATGATGATTTGCTATTGCGATAAAGACAAAAAATTGATAAATAACACTATTACTAACAGGTCAAAAAAACCGTTCAAATGAAACCCATTCAAGGACATATAAAAATATCCTTGAACGGATTTCATGTACTAAAGTACTGCTTAAATTAAAGCATTTTTTTTTAATAGCTCCACTGGAGACGTTTATTGTTAACCATAGATCGCTGCTCTACAGATAATGCTTTCATGTAGAGAAGCTGCATACACGGTTATGTCGTTCTAGGCCTAAGAGAGGCCTTTACTCTATTCAGAATTGTACCCGTTGGTCTCCTGACATCTTGTGGAGACGGAGAGTTTTAAACATTTCAAGAATCATAGTTTATAATTTGTTGCTTTTGAAATCGGTTTCTAGCAGATTAGTAGACCAAGAGTGTCCGTGTTATCATCTCAATAAGCTCTAGGCCGTTCCCTTTCTGATAACAATCAGACAGATTTTTAAATGCTAGGCATCTTGTTTTACTCACCTTGTGGTATATCACTGTGCGGTAGACTGAATACCCGAACAGACGGGACAGGTACGCTGTACACAAAAGGGTGTTCAATTAGCTAAGAATGCCATCATGAAATAATGCGGCGCTAACACAATTTTTGTAAAAGTGCTTAAAAAATAAAAAAAACTTATCTCAATTTCAAGAGACAATGACCAGTTACCAATCGGCCAATCAGTTACCCGATATTTATCAAGACCGTAGCACGCTCCTTCCCGTAAAAGCACGCATTAGATGGCATCTAATGGTGTTTTGATAACAGAGCTTCTTTACTCTTTTTTGCATTGATCCTATTCATTTGCGGCCTTATGCAAGCATGTCATATAGGTTTCCGTCATGCCTGCCTTGAGCTGGGGCTCTCTACAATGCGATTTCAACGGCAAGGTCTATTATGAAAGCAAAAATCGTTCACAATACGCAACAGGTTTTTTTTATTCTCGTCAAATAATCAATGACGTTTACGTTTTCCTTTCATTGTTATTCGAAACATGGTTGGAGCCATACGAAAATAGGACAGAATAATGATGACTAACACAGATGTCGATCATATTGCTATGACGGCTGGTGTGATATCTGCTACCAGGTTGCAGTACGAGGGGACCGAATACCATACAAGAATCTTCGTTAACACAAAGCAGTCAGCTTCATCACAGCGGATATGACAGCACTGACAGTGACCCTCCTCCACCGAACAGGTACGAAAATGGCCAACAGGATTGTTTGGACGTCTTCCTAAACAAAAAGTTTCTTTCGTTTCTTTTTTTTTCCATGTTAGCTTGACTTGATCATTTTCTGAAAATAATTATATTATGTGTAATATATAAACGAATGTGCAGATAAAGATGGTAAAGGGAATGCTAAATTTGCCGAACAACACGCAGCTAGAAAGACAGATTTCTACTCAAAATTGTTACGGGTGACAAGAAATGGTGTTTTTTTTTTTGATGTTAATATTGGAACAGAAAAAATTATGAAACGTGATGGGCTAACATGCGCTTTCATAGGTAAAAGATCAACGAATTAGACCAGACAAAGCGTAGACAAATGGGGACCTAAGTAACTGAGAACTTGGTCGTACGGGGCGAGAGCAGTTAGGAAAGTGATGAAAATTTATTTGTCTGTGCATGGTTACAAATTCAATCACATCGTACAGCCCCTGACCGCCTGAACGCAATCAATCCACGTACTTATGGCGTTCCTCAATAAGCTTTTATCTAGGATATCCGTTCGCTCATACATGAGCTTTAAAAAGAAACAGATATAACATTTAGCACGGCGATTGCTTTTTTTTTTTTTTATTTGACAAGTATCTTCTATCGAAATGTCGTCTCTTTAGCAGTTTCTTCCTGTGCCACGGATGGTAACGAGAGTAGGTAATCAAATATATCGATTTATAATACTTTCAAAATTAAAATGCGTAGTTTTCTGTTGGAAGTGCGTCAATCTTTTGCACCTACATATCATGTTGATATTTTCATGCAATTTTTTTAAAATATTATCTTCATCAATTTGTTTAATTTCATTTAGGGGCGTTGAATTTTTACGGGGATATAAAAAAAACCGCATCATCAAGCGAGAGTGGTGTAAAAAAAAAGAATCTATTTTTTTTTTCATATGGATAGCATATATTGTGGTGTTTGCGTATTCGAACATGCGATCTTATTAAATTCTTATACCTGCACCAGAAGCGGTTATATGTACGTTATGTATTGTGTATATCGTTAGATATATACGAGCGGATGGGGGGATGGAATCTGCTTTTGGACGCTTGAAAGGTAATTGGAAGTTAAGAAGAGAAGGCATCGCCATAAGCAATAGATTAGACATTTCCGGTGTCACAATAATAGCTGACCGTTACTATTTGTGGATGTTTTTCAATAGAAATATAGTTTTCATCAATATGTAAACCTTACCATAAGATTTACAGTAGTTAGCTGCTAAGAAACCATTTGTTTTCTACGATTTGCTTGGCGTAGATATACTCAAACACAATTATCGACTACGCAATTGTAAAGATTGATTGGTAGTAATTATACTGGCCGCAGCGTCTCCACGAGTTACTGGCGAAGGAAGCTAAAAGTTGAACCTATACTAAACGACATCGCTTAATATGAGCCTGCTACGGCTGGTTTAATCCGTGAACGCTAATTAACAAGCCTAACGGCTATTAAAATGAGAACATTAGAATCAATAGATGTCTTACCAGGATCATATGTGTTTCGATGGTCGTAATAACTGGGTCTGTTTCTATTTATCAATTCAGTAGTAGTACTTCTAAAAACAACAGAATAACACTTTTGGGGATTGCCGCTGTCAAATCGAAGGAACGTAGTGTCATCACACCAAGTATACATATACAGTAACTCCCTTCTTACATTTGTATGAAGTTAAATTTCTTAGCGGTTGTATGAGCATGTTGCACTGATAGATCCTACTCAGTAGGGGTTTGGACGCTGTTAATAACACAAAAGGGTAATAACAGTGAAACGATTTGGGATTTAGCAACATATAGTGCGATACTATGTAATCCCTATAGATAATGGCTTGGGTACATGACTGCTAACTCAATATACTTGACTAATATAGGTAACATCTAAAAGTAGACGCGTGCATGTCCTCTCCTCATGTTTCCGAGAACTTGTTAATGTGGTAGCTACACCGAGCGAGTTTCACGTGGAAATGTACACTCAGTTGTTATTCTCAAGAAGATGCAGCTACCATTAGGGTCGTGTCGCCTACGAACGATCGCTGCCAAGCCATCCGTCTCTGCCGTTTCGCCGGACTTTTGGCTCTCCACTGGCGTATAGCAACGATTCTGCCTATAGCCATTACGAATCACGATCGTATACATTGAAACCGGTCGATCAGCGACCGTTATAAGACCGCTATGTCGGCGATACGCATTCGAACATGAAGTGCACGTGTTTCGCTCGAATCACCACTCGGAGTGCGCATGTGCCTGATTCAAAGTCTGTCGATACGTCGTCGACGACAACAAATTCACTTTATTAATGAGGCATACCTGCAAATACGCGTCAGCGACAAGGTCACTCCCCGTATTGGTAGTGCCGAGATTATGGTGGGAGTGTGCCCGTGATCTGGGAGTTGGTCCGAACGACAGAAACAACAAAGGCGCTGTATGCCAAATTCCCACCTATTCAACGCTGCATACCGCTGAACTTTGAAACAAATACAGGCTTCTTTCCAGTAGCGCTGTATGACGTTTGCTGAATGTCCAATCTGGCACTTCATTTCGTTCGAACACAACCCGGTATACATCGTGTCTTTGTCATCGCTGCGTCAGTTTAGACGAGGGCGAATTCGGAACAAGCTACCGACACCACGAACATTCGTCAGCTGTGACGGTAGCCATCGTGTATCCTTCGCCGATGTCGTGTTCTGGGGCAGAATTATTATTATGCCCATTTTTCTGCTTTCCATACTTGTGGGCACCACTAACTTTTCCATCATTAGTTTGACGTAGGGTACACGGCTTGTTGTTCATGTGGTAGCTATAAGCAAAACTAGAGTGCGCGAACAAACTTGGAGCCCATAAGAATTGTGTCTATCTGACGACGCCACAACGACAATCGAAAGCGGTCTGAGTTGTGATGGTGTGTACAATCGGTGTGAGACGCCGGGGCTATTGATACCGGGGTCGTGCAGGTACGAATGCCCCCGGACAAAAGACTCTTTCGGATGCATTCTATCGGTTTGTGAGCATGTTTGGCATTCAGGTGCGACAATACTGGTAATCATCGGCGGGAGATACAGGAAATTGTATTTGATATAGAAGAAAAGAAACCGTACAGTTAATAAGTACGAATGTTAGGGATTTAAGGGGCTACTTAAATGTAAATGGCATCCCATAAAATATACTTTCTTTTAACTTTTCCTTTTTCATAGAACTAGCATAGGTAGATTTTCTTTAAAGGCCATTCACCATGATACCGGTTCACATGGACAAAAAACCTTCTGAACCTTACCCAGTACTAGAAAGCCATAAGGTATTTTTAGGCTCGAATTTTAGGTATAATTTATTTTTAGGTATCTATAGGCTCACAGCAGATACAAGCCAACTTTGTGCTCGAACTAAATACAACGCTCGTTGACATTAAGAAATTTAAATAAGATATATATGCTATTAGCTATTGAGTATTTGCTCAAGACTGAAGCATTTGCATTAAAGTGTGCCAAAATAGCAGGGATTGGCAGAAGACTAAGTTTCCGCTATTTCTAATTGTACCGGTCTTGACCAAATTGACGTATTGTGTGTTGCGTCTTCCGTTCGTAAAAAGGATGGTAGTTTGGATGTAGTTAGTCGAGATCTTTGGGCTCGAGGTGCTTGCTTCGACTAGTTAACTTCTTCCAGATATAACAATGGATATTTATTTGCATTTCCGTACTACTTACACGAGCCGAGCCAGCTGGATAGACCGCAATATTCATATTCCGACCCCTGTAAAAACAACTCTCTGCTATTTCTGGCACCATCAATGAATGCATTGGCACTTTATCTCTAAATTCGATCGATTTCCTAAGTAGTTGAAATATAGGATGCAACCACTTGTATGTCTGACCCGTAGCGCTCTTAGTACTGTCTAAAAAACAACAAGCTTTAGCCGTGATTCCCCAAAAAATCAGGATTAACCATAGTTTTACTAAATTTAACATCTTCGGTGATTTTATAAAGGTACATTTTGTATTTTACTCACTCTCAGCCCTCACGTTGACGACTATGGGCTCCCCAACACCATCTTGAGGTCTCGACGTATCTAGTTCATCATCTACGAGCTTCGATTTCTATTGCGAATGCGACGCAGTAGCAGGTGTCGGGGCAGCAGGCGGCGTTGCTTCCTTGTCAAATCAGCCTATCGTATCTAGTTGGAAAAATCTATCGCTACCTCACCTATCACACTCCGCACCTAGCGTCTGATTTGGCACGAGATAACTTGAAGTGCAGCGATATAATTATAGGCGGAGATAATTTACTCGCACCGGTGTCGTTGTCGTTAATCAGTGAGGTATATTTGCGTAGTTGTTACACCGCTCGAGTACGGATAACAGCAGCAGAAGTAATAGCACTAAACGCAGCCATAAGAGCTATACGCAGTAAAGATACTGGCTAATGACTCGGGAGTGATCGGCATGTACTTCTTGGTGTTTCCTTTAAGACTTTCACTGATATCACTGAAATTCCGAAACCTGTACACCGACAAAACAACGGGCTAATCTACCTATCGTCGTTACCGGCTCTTAATTGTACCAATTTCAACATTTTACACATTTGCGAACGCAAGTTTTCTCTTGAATTTATGACTATGATATTATGTTAAAGGAGAATGCCCACCATTATGATGTTATACGTGAAACAGAATCACTAAACGATAGAAATATATCAACAACGGCTGACGTCTGCTGTGATATGTTTCTATTGTTTGAGTGACTATGTATTGTGACTATGAGAAAGAAGTACACCTATTTTGGGTTGACACTTATGCGATTCTAGCAATTGACTATCTGCCATTTGATGCTCCATATTCTAAGGCCGTGGCCTTTTTTTTTGGTTCATAGTATTATGCTGTTGCATAATTTTAGTTGTTTAGCTTGCATCAGGCGCAAGGTGTGATTTTATTAAATTTGCAGTCAAATCACTGGAATATTTCATTGAAATACTATGAAATACTACACACTATAACGCTTTTCTATTCTCATCTGATTTCCCCAGAGATTATCAGGGTACCTACTCTTACAGCTCGGGAAGTCGTGGCGACGACAGCCATATCGGAGAAGGGGCGCACCTGAACCAGGCGACCTCTTTTTCACAGTCCAACTATCAGGGCAACAGCTATCAGCAAAGTTACCAGGCCTCAACTGCCCCCGTGCCCACCGAGTACCTGCGGTTGCCGTCCGAGACAACGCCTCTCCTTAAACTTAGCAAGTATTGTTTAACGAACAAACGGTCACAGAAGAAGTTATTAGTAACGGTTAGTTATAGATTGAATTACACAAGCGTAGCGACCTCACGCTCTCGTGCGATCATTGAAAAGCCAATTTCAGTCCGTAACAGAGACGTTGATCAAAATAATAATAATTGTTGGTTTTTTTTTTTTGTTTAAACTGTGTATTCGTCCTTGTACGGTCCTCAAAACTTAATGAGATGACGATATGCGTTGTGAATACATGTGTTTTTAGTTGGACATAATTATTATTACCTGTGTACGGATACCGACTCTGATGAATAATACTATAGGGCTAATCGCATAGTTCCTGCGAAAAAAACGTCTCGGAGCGCCGAATATCTCGGATATAGCTGTTGTGTAGAGCTGTGACTACATGCGTTTAGGGATAATGTCAGGCTTGATAACTCAATGTAGCATGCCGGTCCAAGGATTTGCAGCGTAAAAGCTCCATTAAATTAAAGCTGCAAGGAGAATTCGTTGTCAAAAAATCGTTTTAAATAGCTAAAAGGCATTATTATGATCCAGGTCTTCTTTTCCTCCCCTTAGCTATGTTGTCGTAACATATAATGTTAATAAACAGATGTAATTTTACATTGTCTGCGTATCGATAAGCTGAGTTTGCTCATATATTCAAGACGTAATTAAGATAGCTTCCAGCGGAACGTTATGAGAAATTACTATGATAAGTTGTAAGTTGATGAAAATGTCCAAGCATACATAACGTTGTTTGAGATGAGCGATCTTAGAAGCTAAATGCATGATTAGTGGGTCATTCTGTCGCTGCGTATATCGTATGTGTAACGATGAATGCCCTTTCGACCTTCCTATCCACAGAACAAAATCGGTCTCGCACTGCGTCTGCCGCGTCAACTTTTCTGTCAAGTCAACATGATGATGGATTTTATCAGAGTGGGTTGCAGTCGGATATTGGCGCGGGCGGAGACGGAAAATTGAAACACTGGGCCAACATTCTCAAGATTGTGCTTCTGACAGCCTCTGTTGTCTTCGTTGTAGTATGTGTATTTTTCCAGTTCCTTCATTGTCTGCTTTTTTTTTTTTTTTTTCGCTTGCCTCTCTCGCTAAGTATGCCCAATTTGCTTTGTCATTCCTAGCTTCGTTCAGCGGCACGCGTCGGCTCTATCGCTATTGTCCGGGTGTGGAACGCAAGAGCGAACATCTAAAATGAGATGATGTCGGAGAATTATATAAAACAATCAAGAAAACGCTTATAGTTCGTCAGGCTCACTAGCGCCACCCCATTAGCATGATTAGTTTACGTTTTTTCTCGCTGTGTTGATGAAGACAAGGTAAGATACGGGTCCGCCTGTCTGTGCAGATGAGTAGTAATTGTCGATGCTTTCGACGGCTTTAGCCCGTAATTGTCTCTGACATTTTCCGCACACGTCACTGCTTCGTACAAGGCGTAAATATGTGGAAAATAACGATCAACAACGATTTATGTTACATCATCTGGGTACATGCATTCGCTTTCAATTGTATCTTGTAATATTTAAAGCACTTTCTAAGGTTGGCGTCGCCCCTTATCTGCCTGTCTAATAAAATAAACAATTACAGACAGCGTTCACCACGCGGGACGTAACCAGGCACTGGAGTAACTGAGAACAGCACGCTAATTGCTTTCTCTTTCTATATTGATTTACATAATTCGGGCTGCGCAATGGAAATATCCATTGGCACCTGCTGAGAATTTTTTTTCAACAAAAAAAAATAGATTCTTCGGCAATAGAAGTAACTACCCACTTGAATTCCTTGAATGGTTTACTTACGGTCTGCTGTAACGCGGCGACGGCCGCTATTTTACGAACGTATCATCTACGAAGCTCGGGGTTCCTTAAATAGTAACTAAATATCAGCCTCCTAAGTAAAGTATCTAATCAAATTACATGCAATTTTTAGCAATAAGTATAATAACAAATCTGTTTACTAGATTCAACATGAACGTTAGTTACGAGTGGAGCTTTATAAACAACGGTGGATTAACGTGAAATATCTGACCCCTAATATGATAGAGAGACCTATTTTCCTCAAATAGGTTTAGTATACAAAGAGCATCTCTGATGAAGCTTTCCCTTTCGTAGGTCGCTCTCGTGATTCGGCAATCTCTTTATCAATGTGACAATTGATTACTTTTGGATGTGTACGCGTCAGATATTATTGGCCTAGTGTTTTTTTCACATAGGGTAAACAAAGGAAATTTCTTCGTCTAAAAACTGCATGCGGCGGCGGCGGCGGCGGCGTCACTGAAATAGACAGCGTCAAGCGTCAGCTTGAAACGAGTGATGCGACGGGAGAAGATACGTGCGGACTTCTCACGCGATATAGAAACAATATGCATGCTCGAGATAGACCTAGATCCCCGCAGATGGTTGAGGATTGGTGACAAGCTCTAAACAAACTAACAAATACGAGCAATATTGTTCCGGCCGTATAAGGTTGTCAAAACCCGCCGATTTACTGACATCAGGTTTTTTTTATGCCAAGGTTACATTTTGACAAAAAAAACATTTTATTCATTATTCGAATGTATTGAGTGAACTATCTTTAATGGTTGTAAAAGGCGTGAGCCTATTATCACCAGTAAGAGAATATGAGGTTAATATAAGCTTTGTACTTTACAATATAGGAGTTGTCTAGTCCGCACAGATGTTTCTATATAAAAGGCAAGTTCCTTCCTCACCGTGGACCTATTTAATCGTTTTTCAACGTCAATGACCATTGAGTATTGTACAGATATAGAGTTTCCTGCTTGTACATTTATCAGCAAAAAAAAGATTAATGTTAAGCCGAACTATTGCAAATTCATGGGGTCTAATCTATTTAACATTGATTTTGGTATCAGCTCCGATTTTCTGGATTTCGTCCTTTCAACTTAGACAGAGAAAATCAAAAGTATATATAGGACTTACCCCATTTACATAACGTTAGCATGATGACTGCTAGACGTAAACGACTTTTTAGATATACTAGGACAGCGTGCACGTTTGAGCCTCTATACCACTGAACAAGGTGTACGTCTCTGTTTTTATCTGCTTACAAATCCGATGTTTAGACTACGATCGAGCGCGCTAAAGGTCAATTTAAGCTATACATCTATGTATAACATGCACATTTGCACCTTAGATAACTTTTTACGGACACTGGAACCTCCCGAAATAACTCTAGGCAGAAGTCTATGCTCTTATGTTGTTCGGTGCTATCGGTCAGGCCGTATGTAGTGTGGATGTGTTCACAAAAGTTCAAAGTTATCTTGGATTATTTAGAGTATTAGAAATAGTTCGGCCCACACCAATGACAGGGCACAACAATGGCCTGTATACAGTTAAGAGCAGCTTCAAAATGATAACGAAATGTATTTAGAGAAGCCTTTTTTTATTGCAGCATTTACAATGCTACTTAAATACAATATGACTAACGCAAGCTTTCTTCATGGCAGTCATTTACTTGACTCGATGTCTGGCAATATTTTCGCATAAATCTAAAACTGTTGTTCTCGTTCTGAAATGGTCGCACGGTGTGTTTCCTCTAGTTTATCCACCGTCGCTGTTTTGTCGTGCGCTGAAAATGGCCGGGTTATTTACCAAAGAGATTTACATATTAAAAGCCACTGCCTGGTGTGGCATGGAGATCGAACCTTTTTCGTTATCAACTCTATTTACTACCAGGGTATAATCTGAGGTTTTCCCATAGCCTAATATATCGGAATGAGTTAGGAAGACACGTAGTTACAGCAGATTAGGACGTTTAACGTAATCGCGCTATTGAAAAATTACTTCAGTGAGCTTCCAGCCGCCAAGCAAAGTGACAATAAATGGCCTTCCAAATTACTCGACATTACCTCGCTCGATTCAAATTATTCAGACCCCACGTATAGTGCACACATTTAAAGAAGATATTTGCGCCGCCACTCTACAGATAGGGCCAGACGTATGCGAAAAGGTCGTCGAAACCTGGGTAAACTAAATATCAGTAACCAGGGAAAATCACCTTATTGGCGTTGTAGTTCAGTACAGCCTTAAATGCATACATTTTGTAACAAAAAAACAGATCTATAAAAGTACATTCGGTTGTTTTTTTCGTTGGCCGGCTTTTAAAGCTGCTCCCGTCCCTGTGCCAAGAACACCGAGGTTTGGTCGTAGCCACTTACAATAAAAATTACTCAAAAATAAACGGAAGAAGAAAATCAACTTGGCGCATCTAGATATGAGGACGGATGCTAGGGGGTTCTCAGTCAGAGTAGTAAATAATTCGGAAAAATTAATACTTTACACGGTGCAAGGCACATCCGAATGTTAAGTAGTGCTACAAGTCGGAAACAAATCATTACTGGAAAACACTGGCTGATTCTCACGCTGCCGATTTTCGTCTGCTTACAACTTTGCACTTCTTTGTTATTCTATTGAATATGCTGATTGTCGTTACAGATAGTGATGAGCTTTGTGGAAGAGACGAAGGAATCGTGGCTAAGCATTTCGCTAAATAATGAAGACCCGTTTTACGTAAGTTTAAGGCACCGACTGAGCCCATCGTATCCGATTTTGCGACTCAAAGCTGCTGGACCATTCCTACCGGAAAGCCTAGCAAATTTGTCAAGCGTTGATACGGTGTTCGCTCTTGTCAGGAAGTTCCCAGATGGATCACATCAATTGGTGAATGGCCACGAACCACTTGTGTAAATAATCCCTTCATCTATATTTCTAAACTAAATTTTACTGCAGATACAAAGATAGTGATAACGAAAATACTGCATCGTACATACATTAGGCAGCTTCACATATATATGAATATACATGTAGTGTTTTGTTTTACTTTGGATTTAATGGCAGGGTCCCGACGGCACCTCCGATCGTGGCACCTCACATGTCGCCATCAGGTGTCGAGCACATGTTTATTTTTAAGCTGACAGAACTTCTCGATGCGTCGGAAGAATTTGAACTGCTTGTACAGGCGCGCCATCTTCAGGGCCAGGTGTCCGTTAGCCTCCAAATGACACCGTTCACTGAGTTCACGCAGATCGAGTTAATAATGGCTAGCTTCGTTTTAGTCGGCCTTTATGTGCTTATTATCTTCGAACTTTGTCACCGAACACTCGCAGCAATGTTAGGTAAAGGAAAGGCGAAAGGAATTGTAGAGATTTAACTTATGTGTACTGAATTAAGTTTTGCATCAACCATACATTATCTTGCCGTGCGTCAGTTCTTCAGGAGATCTGTGCTGGTCTCATCGGTTTATCATTAGAAGAGCAGGATTATACAGTAATTGCAGGGTTCCAGTATCCCAGCTATTTTCCGCTAATTGTTACACTGGCGCAAGCAATGGTAGTGTGTAGGGCATTTTGCTCTCAGACCTACCTTCCATGTACACCTGTTCAATTATTGCCATAAAGTAAACGTGGACCTTAAATTATTACTACTATTATTATTAAGTAACGTTAATCAACTTATTGTCTCAATTACTGAACAACCTAGGCCATTTGGAAGAATTAATGGAGCGATGGAGGCACTTGATAGACTATTCCAGACACGCAGAAGGAGTCTGTCCAGCCATGAGCTAACTGATTTAAAAAGAAAGTTCCACGCGTAAACAAACCCCAACAGGGGTCAGTAAATGCGACATATAAACGATGTCATTCGTCATGGCTCTACCTACGCGTGCCAATATCGATTTTCAATATTCGTCGGAAAGAGCTTACCTCAGGGCCTGCGTGCAGACAAATACATACAATGTAAAGTGGAGGTTAGTTACGAAATTAGCTGTCCCCATAAAAAGATTTGCAGAGCTAGGCGCCCCTAGAAGTAGGTCGTGCAACTCTCGGCTAACGTTATACCAACGAGGGTTTCGTATTTGGAATAGGTGACATAAAGCAGTCAACAAAGATCGGGTCATGTGTGTAAGTTGAAGGCTGTGTTTGATGATAGCCGTATCGTTGAACGGGTTCATTTCAGGCGCTACCCTGGCTATCGCATGTCTGGCGCTCATCGGAGATCGACCGACGCTGGAGAAAGTGGTGTCCTGGCTGGATGTGGAGACTCTCTGTTTACTTTTCGGTACATTTTATACAACACAACTGCACATTCTAGCACTTTCCATTACTTATTCTAAATTAATATAATTATTTTTCGTTTCTTTGTGTCATCGTGGCTCTATACGTTTTCTACTGCAAGGCAATGGAGTGGCATATGTACACAAATCTGCTAGCAGATCGATGGACGTTTTTGTTTAGCATCGTACTGTAGAAAGCAATCTTAGACTGAAATATATAGTGAAACCTAACATTTTACATGCTTCTAATAATCTTTTAAGAAAGTATCAAATTTATAAAAACGAAAAATTTAGGAAAAAAATCAATCTAAAAATTTGTGACGAAGTGGGCACAATTTGAGATGTATAATATCACGAGTAACTATTTCGCGCAGAAATATATTTTTCTGAAGATTGTAATCTAGATATTTTGTACCACTTAAAAAGTGCACGCTGTATAGCACGTTAAGTATGTCGTTAAGCAAAAGATTGAAAAATGTTTCATCACGTTACAACGAGCTTAAATTTTCTATTTGTTTAGATCTAATATATATATATATATATATATATATACATATATACATCTACGTATGTTATGTACTATGTATATATATACATATACATAGTACATAACGCTAGGGTGATACAGCAACCGATGAAGCATTCGTTCTTCTCGAGAATTTGAAGCAGGAAAAATTGCTTTCTTGAGAGTGATATTAGAAAGACTTTATGGGATGTCGGTGAGACAAGCTGCAATGAGATCCAGTAATCTCTTCCGCGTTATAATAACGAAAAAGTTCGGTGTTAACTGCTCTCTCTATGATCGGCTTGCCCAGAGTGTTTCATATCTTTTACACCCCATGACCCTCGAATGCGTTTATTTTTGATATATCGAAATGTTCCTTTCAAAGTTATTATCTTTAACAAACAACAATGCATTGTAGTGAATCAGACAACAAGGATGAGGTCCGGCAAGCTACTCGCCGCGTGAACGACATTCAAGGGCAAAAAGTGAATCATACATAAATAACCAAATATAAACCGATAAGGGATAGCGAGGTACCATTATGTCACCCTTCTAAAATAAGCGATTGCTCGTCGACTCCTAGCTATCGTCTCCTGTTGGACGCGAAGTAAATACGAAAGAGACCTGTTGCAGCCCTTTGACGGACGAGCGGCTTTAGTAGACCATAGGGAAGGTGATGAAATCCAATTAGGCTGAGCGATAATAATACGACAGTAAATACAATACGCCCACGTACTCCTGAGAAGTTTACCAGTCTTTCACCTGTTTACTTAAGCTATCTCTACTAGTGACATCTTGGAGTATTCTAAAATTGATTGTAATTATTACCCTGTTATTTTGATACACTATGAAAATTCTCTATATTGCCTTGTTGGAGCATTTTTTTTTAATCTTCATTCTCACCATTTTTATGATTGTGTTCTTACAATTTTTCTCCTATAGAATCGAAGTAGCTAAAGAGCATTAAGATTGACTATTAGTAAATTCTAAGTGCACGTAAATAGCCAAAACTGTATAAACTAATACTACATCATATATATATATATATATATATGCGCGTATATGCGTGCAGGAGGAGTGCTGCATTGCGTCTATCGACATAAGAGATTGATCGAAGGACTTTTGCTAAACGAGCACAACGAATGGGCAAAAAGTCACTTCTTGCCCTAGTTAGCTTTTTATTGAAGCCCTGTGAAGGTCGAAACGTATGGAAGCAATATACAGTTAACTAGGATAGCTAATAAGCTTATGCAATTTCTAAATCTTTTGTGTTCGCTTTCATCCTTTTCTTTCTCCTGTCAATATCAAACGCTCTGTAAGTAACCACTGATCAGAGTGACTTCATACGATCGCGTCAGTCATTCTCTCTAGAGATTATCTAATATCCGCCAGATTAATCAAAATAGAAGCAGTTACACGTGCACAACAAGGGCCACTGTAATAGTCCGAAGTATGGGTCCGCCCCCCTACCGACGATCGGTTTCAGATTGACCTCGGCTGAAGTTAGGGTATCACAGGTTTAATAGCAAGGCGATGTTTGGAGATCAGACGATTAAATGTCAATCAGAACACCGGCTGGACTGAGCCGATCGTTGAATTGCAGTTCGGAACAACTTGAGCCAGTATCTTTTTCGTTTGTCGGTTAGGTGACCTCATTAGTTGTTATAAATATACGTTCAGGTTCAATCTGGTCGAACCTGCTCGGTCCAGCGTTGTCGAGTCTCTACTATCGTAATTACGATCTGAATGACTACTGTTGTTTGTTCGTTCGTTTTCTGGATGTAGGAATGATGGTCATTGTGGCGATATTGTGCGAGACGGGCTTTTTCGATTACACGGCAGTCCTGGCATTCCGGGTTGCGCGCGGCAAAGTATGGCCTTTGATAACTACGTTGTGCCTCTTTACCGCGATCATCTCGGCGTTCCTGGACAATGTGACTACAATCCTACTCATGACGCCCGTCACTATCAAGTAAGCTATCGGTCTTACATTCATGACAATGAACAGCGGCGAAACACCACTTACTTCAGACCCTGTCAGCGTATTTGCAATCTACTGCTCCCATATACAGACACTAGTTCATTTAGTGCAGACGAAAACAGGCCCCGTTTGACATAGGAGTATTTATTATGATTTGAATCAGATTATAATCCTATCGAATTCTGCATAGAACCTTTGTCGCCGCTGCTGCTGCTGCAGCGTACATATATATATAGTTCATAAATGGATACGGTCTTTCAAGTAGACTTTATATACATGTGAAAATAGTATACGACACAGCAGCACATGTCGACGTAAACATGGATTCCGCTGGCCAGACGTTGGTGATCATGCATTCTCGCTCTAATTCCATGTGCCATTGTTGTCTCCATAAGGACAACGATCCGACTGGAAAATCATGAGGGAACATACTCGTTGGTGCCTGTTTTTCATTACCGCTTGCTAACGGCTTGGTCAGAGGCCGTTCGCCTGTAGCCTATGGGTCGCCATCCGTAACAAGCAGCCTCGGGCAACAGTCACATTTCGTTTGGCAGCTAGCTAGGTCATTCGCGCTTATATTTTGCTTACTACTACTACTACTACTACCACTACTACTACTACTACTGGAAAAGTGGCCAGCAGAAGTCTAGCCGTTTCGCAAAGCTTAGGACCTCGAACGGTCCAGCATCATTTCATTGCTCATTTTTCCCACGCTCCCTTCACTGGCCCCACACACAGATATGTGCACATTAGGTTGCCCTGCTCACTTTTGAATTTACCCACCATCCAAGCAAGTGCTTATACTATTCTACATTTTACTACTTTCCCATTTTGGTTTGACATCTTTGCCGCACTGACACTCGCTTACACATTGATACTATTTTGAGTACATAGTTTTCTTGGCAAAGTTGCTCATTCTTCTACTTCTTCTCAAAAAAGATCATCCCAGGACTCTTTTATATAACTTCCTAGATAAGGAATCGGCTTTTCTTTCATTCTTACTTAACCGATCCAAATCAACATTGCCGCTAGTCTGCCCAGTATCGCCGCCCAGTTTTTAGTGCTGGTGTCTGTATGAAGATACATTTTGGGTGTTGGTCCCTTCTGTCTGCAGTGCACCTTGTCGCTTCGTCGTTTCGTGCTGCTCAGCCATAGTTGCTCTGGGTGGTAGAAACATACCCCCCAACGCGGCTCCAGACTCGCGATTAGCACGCCGTCATTAGCCGAAATTAATTAATGCTCATCGTTAGCATCGTCAACAGCAACAACCACGCAAATATCATCGTCGAAACCGTCGTGATCAATTCTAAAACAGGGCAAAGCAACGCTTTTGCCAGCGAGAGTAAATGGTGACGAAGCAGACGACGGCGGTAGGATAAAAGCAAGTTAGGGTACCACCTTTCCTCCAATCTTTATAAGTTCTCCACTTGTCCTGCTGCCCCGCTTTTCTTTTTACCATAGCCCTTGCTCGACGTCTTTGTCGCTGCAAAGAAGCAGACGTAAGCATCTACGGCCGCCGTTCGTCTTGCCGGTCCCACGAGCCCGCGCCCAGTTTTCTCTTCTGCCCTCCAACAAAGAGAACAAGTCACCCTTCGTGGGCTGTGTTTTCCAGCCGTAGTTAGCATTAGCATCCACCCCGCTGCGTTCTAGTCATGGTGAAAGGAGACGAAATATGGCTAGAATGGTAAACAGGATACAATTGGTTTGTTTTTTTTGCGTACGTTTTGACGTCAGGAAGTCAATGATGGTGCGTAAGTTTGTCCAGTTAGATGTTAAGTTTGCAGCCGCAGCGTCTTAGATCCTTCGTGCCAACTCCCATGTCCAAAAACAACTCTTCTATTTCACCTCGACCTTTACTGCCCACAAAAGGAAAAATGTAGCGTCAAACTGGCTTTTTCTGCAGGAAGTTGAAGCTCCCGAAAACGCCGCCGCACTGGTGAATATGAACGGTGAGCTTCTATTATATTACAAAAAGAGAATGATAACGATGAGGCGTGAGAGTGCTGTGAATTGTAATGTCATCGAGAGCAGTTCGAGAAGTTACCCCTTCCCGTCCCCCACGTGAAGCCCGACAACAAAATCACGTCAGATAACAAACAGATAATCTTCTAAATAGCTAAAGTTACAATGTGCTTGGCGTAACTTTGCACGTGAAGTATTTGTGAAGGCAGTGCTTTTATATGGGAGCCAGATATAAATGATGATTTGAAAATGACCGCGAACTTGATCGAGACGCGCTAAGAAAATTTATAATCCAATAGAATAATTTTTATTGTAGTTCTAATATTGTAAGTATTTTAGAGCTAATAAGGACTACTAAGTTGCATACTTCATATTTCCATATGAGTTCACCTTAAATGAATTGGTAAGACGCGGTGTTAGTTTATAGGTTCGATCCCTCTGATTATCCAGGTATTATGTGGCATCTTCGTCTATCCGTTTGGAAACAATTTATTTTCTTTAATGTATTTTTTTTTATCATTTTTCAGGCTTTGTGAAGTAATGAACCTCGATCCAAAACATGTACTCATCTCTTTGGTGATGTTTTCGAATATAGGAGGTGCAGGAACACCCGTCGGCGATCCCCCGAATGTTATCATCATTTCTAATCCCAAGGTTCAAGCCAGTACGCATCGACCACCGGGAGCTTATCTCGTCTACTAAGCTACTTTCTATGAAATAACTATAAAATATACTATACATAACAACTACGTTATAAAATAACGCGCAAAAACTGAAATGTGCCGCTTGTCCCCACTGCAAACGATTTTGCTCCAGGCTAACGATTTCAGACTTTTCACCTAACCGTTAGGTATAACGGGTCATATCTGTCTCTCTACCAATGAATTTTCCACCTTGCAACAAACCTTGACAAACTGGAATCCATTAGCTTCCCTTTTCGTGCTGTATTTGAGACGGCATCCATCGTTCTATAGACGCTATCCGATTTCGTGTCATTGGTACTAAAATGTTGCAATTAATGTCACGGCGTCCTTATAATTCGTGTATTCCCTCAGGTGGCGTGACTTTTACAAACTTCACGATGCATCTTCTACCCGGCGTTCTGTTAGCTGGCATAGGAGCTTACGTCTATCTGCGCCTTTATTATCGTGATGACTCCAGTCTTAGGCACCAACAGCCCCAGGAGGTTTGTTTGCTATTTTTGTTTTAGTGATAAGTTAGCTTAGAATAATCAGATGCTAGATTTTTAGTTAATACTAAAGCTGTCGTCTTGATTATAACGAAAAAAGAAAATTGTCAACGTGTATTTACTGCGAATGAACAGGTGGATAATTTACAACTGAACAGAAACGTTCTATTTCAATGGTGTGATACTAAGTTATTTTACACTTCAGGTGGTCGAGATTCAGCATGAAATCGATATCTGGCAGAAGGCTTGTCGTTCTTTATCAGAGTATTCCCGTGACGAAAGCCACGTGCGTGCTATCTTAAAAAAGAAAGTCAAGAACCTTAAAAATCTCTACCGTAAAAAATTGGTGGAATCCTCTAGCCCATCAAACGCTGACTTTAAACACAATCTAAAGCAGCTAAGCGACAAATACAAGATTCGCAATTGGTTTCTTCTAATCAAGAGCGGAGTCGTACTGTCGTTTGTAATCACCTTATTTTTCTTACAGTCGATACCTGAACTCAACCTCAGTCTCGGTAAGTAAACGAAGTGGTGTTTTTTTTCTAATTTAAAGTTTCGTATATTTTGGCCTAGACTGTATAGGATAAACGATGACGACGTATCGGCTCGCAAGGTGTGCTTGTCTATTACTCTAGAAATAGTACCCCGCTCATTCCATTTTGCCAGCGATCCCGATTCGTCTTCAGTAAATGTATGGCAAACCTTAAATAACGTCATTACATATTAATGTTTGGCTCTTTGACGTGACTTTTCGCCAACGGTGAGAGTGGCTTACCTATACCGCCGCCATTGTTCTAGGATATACGCACACATGCAAATTGTTTATGGACATAACGACAGCGCCTATAAATAGGCTCACTATCGTATTTATTACTCAACTTAATAATACTATTGTTACTGCTGTAAATATGGCCGCGTGGGTATGTTAACTGTTTATAAATGCACGTTACCACCATAACCAATTGTCATAATAATTCGATGGTAAAAATGATCGAAACTTTTGTTGTTCTCGTCGTTCTAACGGTCGTTTAGGTTGGATTGCGATCCTTGGCGCCCTTGCTTTGCTTGTTTTGGCTGACATGGAAGAATTAGAGGGTGTCTTCGGACGTGTCGAATGGACAACTCTCCTATTTTTTGCAGCACTCTTCGTCGTCATGGAAGCCCTTACCGAACTCAAATTACTGCAGTAAGTTGACTTGGAATATTGGTTTAGTTTAGCGAAAAACTAATTTTACAGATTTATTTTTCAAAATGTATCTATTTTTTTATTCAAGTAAAAATATAATCGACACAAACCAGGGAATCTGTGTATACTCGAACAGAGTAGCTTCTGCAAAATTTCACCAAATTTAGTAGAAGAGAATCATGAACATGAAGTCTCTCGATATTTCGAGTCTGCATCCGCCATCGCCGTTAAGCATTCCATCGGACGGCTGGCTCTCAGCATGAAATAAAGTGTGTCTATGCCCAGATTCTAATCCCAACCGAAACGTGCGTCTTCGCAACGCACGCAGCAAATTCGTTAACTACTAAACTATCGTGGAGAAAAAATAGAGGGTCTAGAAAAGGGTAACAGCCCATTGCGTTTGAAATAAGCAACCTAGCATGATTGCATCGTTTCAGATTTATTGGGGATCAGACAGAAGATTGGATTTGTGCAGTGGACGAAGAGCACCGTCTTGTTGTGGGTATTGTGATTATTACATGGGTATCATCGTTGGCCTCATGTTTTATTGACAACATACCGTTCACCACTGTGATGGTCAAAATTGTCGCCAAGCTTGGTAAGTTACATTTCAATTTGTGCCCTGTATTATTACTACATGATATAGTTAATTTACGAGCTCGTTTAACAAACTCGTGAATGTAAGATGAGGTGCGACCCACAGAAACCCTGTTGCAGAGGCAGGGCGACGTGCAAGGTTATAATGGACCCTGGCTTTACATGGCTTTCGACATTGAATTTATCCACGATAAATACGAGATTTAGATATGAGATGAGATGAGTGGTTAAGCCATGGCGGGCTCAGCTATTTCTAGAACCAACACCGGGTTCTCAATGCGGACGTAACTGTTTCGACATTACCAAATACTAAGTACCTATGAATTCTGTGGGAGAACGCTGAATATCGTTTTGCCGTCTTTTTCCTTAATTGAAAAAACAAGATAACGTTATTATACGTATACTTATAGACCTGGCAAAAAGATACTTCAGCCGTCAGTGACTGGCTCAACGGGCCCAAGAGTGCTCTCGCGCTATTTTCGTCTCAGCGTAATAACAGTGTGCCTGTGTTCGGTGCAATTTCTGGCCTTGCGCTAGGTGTCCTGCATACATAACAATATGCGTATTAATGAGATCGTGCCCAGACCGCAAGTGCGTGACAGACTCCTCCGAAGTCCTGAATACGTTTAGCGGTATGCCCATAAGAAAGTGCGGCAACTAGCATGCGATCGCATTCTTTACATTATAAATAAGCAAATGATCAAGACAAGCCTGCTCTAGATATTTCGATAACACGAGCGAAGGCTGTTTGACATTAGAAAAAAACTATTATATAGCAGCAAAAGCGTAGTAGCGAAAGGCTTCCGTTAAAGACTGATTTTCGTTGTCCTCCAGCCCTCTGGTTCAAGCAGGAGATCGCTCGCCAAAAGTGTATCTATCTTGTTCCGATCGAACTTCATTTGGCCCTTGCCGATTCAGAAACACATGATAAACTATTGCTCAAGAGCTCAAAGAAAAGAAAAAAATGTTGATGATGCTATTTTCAGCAACCGCTAAATCCTATGCGGAACTACACTGAACGCATAACTTGCATACTCTATTGTACTATATTTGCCTTAATACCCAAGTCTTTATCATAATTGAGAGTAAAAGGCAGTCCATATTGAAAATCGCGCGAAACATGACCTACTACTCAGTAGGGACTGAAAAGCGATCAGTCTAGAACAAAATAGGTTCAATATTGAATTTTTCTGAAGTAAGTTACATTACATTATCATACGATCTGTATTCTACTCTGACAATATGGCGACGAATGATAGAAAATGTATGTGGTCCAAGTGATAAAGACCAATAAGTGTATTGGGCATCCGGTTCAACAAGCCTTCAGAACATTGTAGTGTTATAACTGTTGGTCCTTGGTGGTCGTTGTAGCACAAGATGGCAGGTGCTGAATATCCGCTGTAATGATATTCAGCTATGCAACACTGGCTTATTACTTTATAGACTTTCAAATATAAAACTAAGAATAATATAGTTAAAACCTTGGTCAAAGTGTAGGTACTTTTTTGAACAAGAAATTTAAGATTTGTTCTTCAGTGGGTCACTTTTCAGATTATTAATCTCATATGTAACCTTCTTCAAAAGCCGCACTTCAACAATCATACTTAGATTCAAACGGTTACTGAAATGTGTTCTTAATAGTAAATACGTCATGTTTGCTCTGGGGGCCTCCATAGCTATTTGTGGCTATAGTGGCGAATAATAGCAGATACGGGCAATATCATGAGACATTGATGCGCGCCTATCCAGACATCACCCAGTAAACAACTATGAAATTGCAGTATACATGGATCCGTCGACTTCAGTTTTTCATCGATCGCCAGGAAAGAAGCCATTTTACGGGGTACGCTTAGCCTATATTGTGATGTTGGCCTTTTTGAGTGGTGTTTGGCGGGATGGGTCTCTCTTCTAGACCGGTAATGCTACTGCCGGCAGCTACGGTATACCATACCATCTACATGGAGTCTGAATTTTCGAATTGCTCCAAACGAGCCCAGGTCTGGAGCTAGCGGGCAAAGAAGAAGAGGCAAAGCCCACTATCTAATTCCACACATTTAATAGCTACTGCAACTAAAATCTATGCATTTAATAGCTACTGCAACTAAAATCTAAAAACTTTTTACCCAAACCAGTATGTACCGAATCTTTAATTCCTCAATTTTATACTCCAGAAGCCTTTGCATCCCACACTTGTATTCCTTTCACCACATACTCGTATGATCAATTACACACCTAGACACAAAACCACTAACCTATTTTCTATCCCTACTCACATCAACAAACAATAACTGAACAAACTGTGATATACGGAAACGAGGACTATGCCAGCGAGAGACACCAATGACGATCAAAAAACTGCTTGAATAGGTACACAACGAAACTGTTGTTGAGCTGTCGTTTTATATTGGCTGAGCTAGACCAGCCATTAGTGGTGATATAAGATTGTCACTGAGCATTGAAAGCCATCGTCACGATGAAATGAACAGATGATGAACTAAGTGGACTTTAATCATTACGATGAAAAATATAGAAAGCTTTTGGTGAATGAATGCAGTAAGCGCGGCAGAAGAACCTGACGATGAACAGGACATATCTTGTGTGCGATACGTCCAGCTGAAGCTTAAGGGGAAACAATAGGATGGAACGGACATAGGACAAAGCGCGCACCTTCTGTTCCTAGTGAATAGTTGACTATGCTAGCCATCTACAGGTTACGATTGACCGCACTGACAGCCAGCAGTTGGGTGCAAGCTTACGTAGATAATTATTTACGGACGAGATCGCGCTTGTGGGCACTGGAAAGTAGGCACGTTGGGAACGAAAAGCGCACAAAACAAGACGTAAAAAACACCAGCAGCAGCCACAGCAATATGCAAAGCCAGCTCAAGTTGAGGCGGCCCCACGAGCAGAAAACGTCGGTACGTGTTTTTCGGCGTCTGCTGGTACTAGCTTTAGCTTCGGGCGTGTTGCCGCTGCTGGCTGTAACTTTATAGGCATGGCTTTTGTACCCTTTTAATTTGGCCAGATTTTAGGCGACAGAAAGCTGATAGGAGGATTGAGAATCAGTCCCTAACATTGGGAAAGACTCAGTAAAAAAGCGTTACCTGGCAGAAGATGGAATAATGGCACCATATAGATCCACGAGCACCCCACCGGCGCTCATCCGGATAAGGCAACCTGCCAGAGATCTACTGCAGTGGAAGAAACAGTGCATTTGTTTCTGACGCTTCTCGAATTTGTTTGTTTTTTTTCTTGTACCATTTACATCACCTGGAGCGCTAAAGGCCAATCTTGATATTAAAGCATTACAGCTATGTACAATCAAACGCATTTAAATAATATTTCTTTAGCCTGTACATACATGGGTCGGGCACAGTCCCCAATACGTCTTGTGTATATATAATGTGTGCTATAATTATGTGTATACAAGTATTATATCTGCCAATGGCATTAGTCAATTATTCCGTGCGAATGGAAACTGTTTCACAAAAAGCCTGCAGAAAATATCGCTTTGGGGCAACGGCACGATAAAAACGAGAAAATGATTTATGGAAAACTGTTCGAACTTAAATGTTAAACGCCTTTAAAAAATCATAACCACTATGACTATATCATAATGCAACTAAATGATGCGATGACATTATACGGTGATGGTACGATAATATGACTATACACTATTGCTGAACCCTCTTAGTCTCTCTCTGTTTTTGCTGAGATGTAAGCCAAATTCGATACTGTTGACTTCTATGATATACACATTGTAGCTAGCTTGGCTGTATCTGCAAGAACATATATCGGGGTACGCCTTGCCGCGAGACTCGACCCCTTCCCGACAGAGAAAATAGCCAGACAGGCGAACCTAACAGCAAGGGTAGCAAGACTGGCAAGTAAAATCCCAAAACGCTATAGTAACAGACGCAGTTAGAAGAAAGAACGGTTTTAGCTATCCCTCTAGACTGTCGGCAGCCAAAAAAAAAAAAAATACTACAGTTGAATTTACGAGGATGGAAGCCCGAGGCCATGAGGAAGATCTGTTCTGTTCCGTTCCGTTCCGTTGGCATGCGTATTTCGAAAATTCGTAACACCGCATAAAACCTACGGTATGAGCGTCTGCCCTTACAAGTCTTCTTTTCTACACACACACTACGGTCTGTAGTTACGGAACCATTTGCCTCCCCTAGCGGGGCGCGTCACTATGAATGCGTTTCTAGCCCTGCTTATGTTAGCGCGTGCCGCCACTGTTGCCGTCGTAAATGAATTCATTAAAATGCATAGAACTGCCAGCTCCTCTCACAGCATAAGCAGCTGCCTCGACCGTGGCGATAACACCAGCGAAAGCAATAGTATTTGGTGTAAGTTGTATATTTTCTGTCTAAACTGTATTTTGTGAGATGTACAATGCTAAAAAGGAAAAAAATGTCAAGCCACATGAACGTAATAGGAAAAGCACCGAACAGGGGGCGCTGATGCTGGTGGCCTTATTATATCAGAAAGAGGTCATCGGAGCTGCGGCGGGATAGGGTTAAGGACCCGATGTAAAAAGCTCGATGTACAAACGAGCTTCCGAGTGATCAACAGAAAGGCTTGGGAAAATGAAGAGGACTCGCAGTTATTTTACGCAAATTGTCTAAAAGGACTGGCTTTTGTTTTTGACTTAGTAAATAGAGCGTCGCGCCGTGATCTCTATGATGGAACGAGAGCCAGCTAGCCCTCCTAGACAGTAGCGATCCTGACCCCTGCTCCTTGTTTCTACGCGAAAAAATATGCACGTGGCTTTGGGTGTGTGTCGTGGATATTGAAGGTATCCGTCTGTCGTAGGAAACTAAAGCATCTATCAATAGGCGTTTTCTTAAATTCAGACGTATTTAAGCTTATATGAAAATTGCACATTGACCTACCTGGAATGATATTACCTAGGCACACGCCATAGTCACATGGTGGTAGTTTTGTATTTTCAACAAAAGACAATGAAACATAATGTAAGAATAGAACTGGGACCAATTTAGGCTATTTTCATTGGTCAGACGTAGTTTTTTCAATGGCCAAATTTTGAAATACCGTCATCCCAGCTTCAGCACCAAGACTTTAGTTATGTATTACCTGCATTGAACTGTTTATGTCAGCTAACCTCTATGGTCTATCCCATGACTGAAGTCTTAGTACGGTCAAAGTGGTTCCATAAAGACGACCCAGACAACGCCCTCCTACAATGAACTCTCGCGGCCAACGACCACGGAAAGACTCGCAACCGTTACGGCAGAATTTTTTTCATCAGTCGGATAATAATAAAATAAAAATAGCGGGGCTAATGCCGAAGAGGATCATAAAGAGAAGAAGTTGCGCCAAATCAGGAAAGCCATATTGGCTTTCTCACTGAAGCACAAGTTAGACTGAATGCATAAACAAACTATCCAAGCTTAAACGAAGATGATTAATAAAACAAAATCACTGATTGATTATAGCATAGCTTATCAATATTCAGGTGAGTCGGAGGCTCTTAATTTGCCGGTACAACCTCTCATCTATGCGTTGGCATTTGGCGCGTGTCTTGGAGGTAACGGAACCCTTATCGGAGCCTCCGCGAATGTTGTCTGCGCAGGCGTTGCGGAACATCACGGTTATCGATTTACGTTCATCGATTTCTTCAAGTTAGTATCCGTAGTTTTAATCCGTCGTTCAAGTGCGTTCCCTATGCGTTTCAGTTACTTCTAGAATCGCAAGAAGTGTTCCTTAACCCGATTAGCATTTACGTGAGCTTACTTCAATTTGATTGTGAGTCTTCCCAAGTCACTGTCCAGCAATTAATTAGAAAATTAATTTCTATATTCGCTTTGTTTTATGGTCCCTGTAGCCCTCTCAGAATGTTCAACTAGATAGCTCAAGCCGCATTTGCAATTGGAATACATCTTTTTATGTACGTGTCGACAGGATGCGCCCACTAGATAACTGGCCACTCGGCTAAAAGCACTCTTCGAAATCGCCAAATCATTTCATATGCGTTTAGCCCCCTGATTCACCGTTAACAACTTGCCCCAGACAGCGTACGGCGTACGATGTCTCCGAAAATGCACGGGTTGCACGTCCAGTCTCAATAGAAGCAAGCTTGCCTTATTTAATCACAGGTAAACATACTGCTTCTTGTGTTACTGTTTTCAGGATCGGTTTTCCAGTAATGCTGGTCACAACGTCAGTATCAACATGTTGGCTTCTTTTCATCCATGTTGGACTGGGATGGTTATAATAACGGTAATAACAATCACCCTGATATCTATATCGCCTACCTCTTCGATGCAAGAGGGAGCGTTTGAGATGTGGCGAAAAAATGATACCCAAATACCTGCCGGGTTCAAAATTGATGGGAACATCCAATCTAGAGCAATGTAGCTAAACGATAAAATATTTTATCATAACTAAGCGTTTTTAACGATGTATATTGCATCGATCTGATTTGGTAAAGCAGCAAAAAATGAATCGAATTGCCATATTTTTTTAGATCTAGAAGTGAAACGATCATGAGTCGAGGGTAGTCGTAAATCACTCGAAGATATCTATTAAACTATATATATGATCCATTCTAATCATCTATTTATCTCTTCAAAGCATGCAAGTATTAAATTATATTTTGCCTATGTAGCGTTCTGTACTACGGACGGTATAAGCCGCACGTATCGCAGCTTCTCTGAGCCCTGCGGGCTATGTACGTTTATCATTGGAATCCTGGAGTACATGTTTTCAATGATTGACAGCTCATTAATGAATAAACTTGCTGCTGGCGTTAAAAAAAATATAGAGCAAAAACACTAATGAGCTAGATTACTTTTTACCAACTGACGAGAGAGATGAATTTTGCTCAACTGCGAGAGTCGGTCGGAGATTAAACATAGCTCTGTTATTGTATATAATAAAGTCTATAGCTAACATACGTGCTTTGTTGCTTTTGGTCTGTTATGATATATTGTTTTGAACATGTTTACTAATATATGATACGTTTTTAGTTGAGAATTTTTGATGTCCTAAATGCCTGAGCCCCGTTGATTGCGGGACGTAAGCTGATCGTCTCCGCCGCTTCCAGCCAAATCTATTAGCCATAATTAGACGTCTTGAAAAATGTGCTGCATTTGTAGGCCGACGATCGGATTCGTTATACCAAATAGACTTGAAATAGATCATGTGTGGGATAGCGGATACTCCGGTCTTACAGAGCTACCATGATCAGAACTTGAAGATCCGACCGGGAGCCCTAACTCGATTGTAAGGGCTTTCGCCGTAATGCTACTATTATACCTGTGATTAATTTTTCAAAAGAACTCCATAATACAGTCTATAGTTTCGATCCATAATGTATTTTCTCTGCATTAGGCTAGAATGTTCTAGCTTGAAAACCGTATGTGGAAACGATTCGTACCGTGCTATGGTCTATCCCAACAGCAGATTTCAGAGGTAAAATTCGGTACATTCGGTAGACCGCAAATCATATTCATCTATGTTACTCCATCTTAATATTCTTCTGTCTTAATATTGAATTTAATTTAAACGCGTCTGTATTTAGAAAAAGATTGCTTTGACGACGGCGACGATTATATAAATGGCTCTCAGCAGAGCATGCTAAGACTGCTGAATGCATTTAGCCGGAATTATATGCCCACGTTCGTTAATTGCTACCCAGTCAAGTCAAGATCGACATTGGATTGGGTAGCGGAGCAACAGGAAATGGTCGTGTGTAGCTTGGTACAACAGCATCGTTCCAACACGATGATGGCCTTGTCAACCTCCTATTTCAACCAACTAGCTCTATGACAAGTTATCTTTTAACACACTGTCATTGACGGAGGCTGTGCTTCACTTTAGCTGCTAATCCGTACAGCGTTGGCATCATATAAGACCCAGAAAGCCTCCCCCCAGTGTAGAATGGAAGATAGATGGAATTATATATTCCACATGACCGAGCGAGCGGAAGTCAGCTTTTCAGAGAAGCATTTTTTTGACTTGTTATGAAGTGCGACGTTCCGCGCTTGATTGGTATTTACATGAACTACCCTTCAGTAAACTGTAATCTCTCAATAGTAAATCTCGCAGTTACACTATTATCTTGAAATATTCGGACCATTTATATTGGTAAATGTGATTCGGCAAAGTTAAACATCTAATGCATTTTATATTAATTGTTTAGTGTCTAGATATTGTGACAAGGTTTATAAGAATAAGAATGTCCTTTGACGAACAAATCGGTGGACTGGATTGGCCATAATGCTGTTCTCGCAAAATAGGGAGAATCTTATCTTCGATTTTTAGTTTTATATTCAGTTGTCATTTCAAATACGCTACACGGTTTTTTTCAAAAGTACTTGCATCGTTAAGAAGTAGTATACATAACGTCAGCAAAGGCCACATGTCCAGCCATGAGGGCGAACATATAACCGCCGCAATGTTCCACAACGTCACATGGTTTCGCAGCAGACTATGCTATCGTAGCCGCCGCAAAAAGCGCGCCCAGAACTTATGGATTCTCCAAAGACTACGTTTTCAGCAAAAATAAGGCGAACGGCGAGGCCAATGCCAATCTTCACCACTTTGTGCTTGTTATTATATTTGTGCTCCATATTCGATCGACATATACGATCGAAACAGCGGAGGACGCATAGGCAGCGGCCGAAACACCGGTGCCGTAGCCTTGCGAACTTGCCCTGTTTTGTTGTCGCTACTATCCATCGATTGTGTACGCTTCCACCCAATTTATCCCGATTCAGGGGCCTAGCATCTCATGGGTCTGGCCGAATGCCTTTGCCAATGCCAGCTTAAGGTCACATTAGCAATAATCCCGAGCAATGGCTATGGCTCCTTGGGTAGCATATGTGTGTGAGATTGCGCCTCTGCCGCGTCCGCAGATGGCACGGAAGTCCACCGGAATCTGAATGCATTGCGTGCCTCGGGAGCTTGGTTTGACCAGCCCAGCAGCAAATTTTGCCTTGCCTCGTGCTTGTAACTGTGCGAATTTTTGAGCGACAACGTTTGACGGACGAGCGGACGGTCGGCGGGTCCAACAAAGGGGAGACTACTTGAGCCACTTGACAGTGGTAGCAGTTCAGAAGATCGGAAATACTGGGAAAACGCAGTTGTGGCGGCAGGTCCAGCAGGAGCATAACCTGACTCGATGCTGACCGCTGTCACAGCTTTCTCTCGCGCACACGCAGTCTGTCTGTCAGCTTCGGCCGCACTCTCTTCCTAGGCAAAACTTATTCTGCAGACTTGGAGACATTCCTAGTCAGGTCACCTTATTCTGTCGGTATCGTAGCAGGACAGAAGCAGAAGTTGGACCGGATCTGAGCGGGGATTGGGAAGCTGCAGTCACCCACACCGCCTAGCTAATTACTGAACGCAAGCAACTGGATGACTGATCGACTAAACAGCATTTGCAATTGTATCTACTGCTGCTGCCCTTGTATTTCTGTAAGTGCATGTATATCATATCACGGAAATTAGGTCATTGCCGCCTCCGGCCCTCCTGCATGCCGTGACGGGCGCGACTGACGTTCTTTTTTCGTGATACACAGTTTACCCAAGCCTCTGGGTAGCCATCTATTCTCGGCGCCTTTTTCTAAAGTAAACTAAAAGGCACTCGGCAACTCGTAGCACTCGTTGCATTCGTCACTCTTCCAGTGCCCTACTAAGTACAGTGTGCTACCTAACTTCGAACCCTCTATACTCTAACCTCTCCGTTCCTTTCAATCGAACGTGCATTTTGTCGACAGCTCTTGGGCCATATTCTCTCCCGCTTCCTCCTTTAGGGGCGTCATCTCTGATCCAGCAAAGGGGTTGTCGCATAGCCTCACCGAGCTACAGTTCAGGACCGCCTCTCTAACAAGTCCAGACCGTTCGGCCGAACCAGATACGTCATAACCATTTCCTTGGCCTTTTTCCTTTAGTAGTTCTTAGAAGTTGGCAAGTTGATAAGCGGAATGGTATTGATGCTTCATATTAATCGTCGTAAGATAGCCATCGCTGTGGCTAGGTTTGACAATGAGCTCGGGGGTCATAACAGTCCTTGAGTACAAGCAGTAAAGACTACGTGAAGAAATAAGGACACGTGGTTGAATGATGATTAGTGCTGATTCTGATACAGCAAAGGCGTTCTCGTAAGTAAAACTTCGTCGAGAAGTTCTTGTCGTCGATGTCTCTTATCGATTGCGGACGAAATAGGTAACTAAGATATGGGTCATTGTTGACAATGCACCACTTGTTGTTATCATCAGTGCCGATGAACCGAAGTCGGTTACATCATCATCATCATCATCATCATTTGAAAACATTCAGCTACGATAAAGCTACTATCGCACGTCGATTCGGGCAGATTGATTTCTTACAACTAACGAAGTCCCTCATCTATAGAACACCTTATACGTACATGGTCCATGTCAACGTATATATATATGTCTGACACAATTAATGTGAAAAATTAACTAATAATTACTTTGTTAACTACCATTATTGTAGTGGCACAATTGTCTACCATTTTAAGAATATGATCGTCTTGTATATTATCAGATGTACAGATGGCGGCCCTTCTTCGGTATTAATGGAAACTTTGATTTGTTCGCAGTATTTCAGCTTTAACAATACTCAAGCTTTTGCTGATCGCAGAAAGACGACAGGAAAAAAAAATACCACATTTGCTTAATACATTTTACAGCGTAGTATAATCATTGATTGTAAAACAGTTATATCTGAACATTCTATTCCATGTAGATATATGGCATGCGTTTTTTTTTTCTTATCTCCCACATAGGCCGCTTGACAAAGATGAGCTTGCGACTGTCGTGAATGAAAGAGATCTTCCGATTCATGGTAAGCTGAGGACGAGAGTGTATCTACTGAAGAGCGGCATTACAAAAAACGATTAGGACGGGCTTCAGCTTGGATGAATAGGAAAAATATTGCTACAAGCCCCCTATTATCTTTATAAATAGCTATACAATGAACATTCTACATGCTTGAAAAAAGTGCATATATAAGAAACGTATCGGGACGATGTAGCTGATAAATCAAATAATATAGATCTGCAGATCACACTTTTGGACTTGACGTTAGTTTATTTATGTGTTTGAAAAATAGCGTGAGAATTTCT